GCAAGTTTCAGACGACACAATCTGCTTCGACACTCCGCAGGGCGCAGCCTCCGCTATCGCCTCAGGTGACAAGGTATGTTCATCCTCGACATCCTCTTTCTCTCTTCTCTCTCCTTTTGCATGAATCGATCTTTTATATATGTTTCTCTCTTTTCTAACTGTTTCCACCTAACCAAAGAAACTAATTTCTACAATTTTCACCCACAAACACATTCATATTGCTCAAAATTCTACCTCCAATCTAATATTTTTACTTTTTACAAATAAAATAATATACCACTTCCTCTCTCTCCTCATGAACAATTCCTTTCCCCTCTCTCTCTAACCTCAGTTAACCCGCAAACCAAACAGAAAACAGACAGGTAAAAAAGGGGAGAGAGAACCCATTCCCAACAACACCCGAAGAAACAAAGAATCTGATGGCCAAAGAAGGAAACTCAGCAGCACCCGATGTTCAGCTCCTTAGGCTCCTTTCCGGTCTCCTTCAGCAGGTACCCATGTGTACATATTTACATATGTGTGTGTACCTATGTGCGTGCGCATATATTTATACAATAGATATATGTAACAAGTTGCAAAGGATGTAGTTGAGATCAAATAAGTACAGATTAATTTGTGGCTATTTGATGAATTTCATCTAAATTAATTTGTGGTTATTTTTATATAAATAAAAAATAAAAAATAAAAAAGGGTTGGATTTGAGTATGTACCATCTCCGTTATCATTTACCCGTAAGACGATGAAGACATACTTGAGAAGAGGAATGAGAGTGAGGGTGTAGAAGATCAAAGAGAGAACACCCAATATGTCATCGTTGTGTTTAATATCTCCGTCGCTGAAAGTGCTGGCATACATGTAAAGAGGAGAGGTTCCGATGTCCCCATAAACTACCCTGAGGCTCTGGAATGCTAGATGCAATATCACCGACCACCCCACAGTGGCCTTATTGCAAAGGATGTTCTTAAAATTCCATATAAATTAATTAAATGAAGGATGATTCTGATTGATTGTGGGTTATATATATGGAATTAATAAGGGTACTGTGGAGTGGTCGGTGATATTGCATCTACCATTCCAGAGCCTCGGGGTAGTTTATGGGGACATCGGAACCTCTCCTCTTTACGTGTATGCCAGCACTTTCAGCGACGGAGATATAAAACACAACGATGACATATTGGGTGTTCTCTCTTTGATCTTCTAAACCCTCACTGTCATTCCTCTTCTCAAGTATGTCTTCATCGTCTTACGGGCAAATGATAACGGAGATGGTGCGTATGTCAAATCCAACCCTTTTTATTATTATTTTTTATATAGTCTTTCATATTCGCATTCTTGATTACCTCTTCTGTGTGTGTGTCTATATAGTTGACCGATCGAACTTAAAACCACATTTGATCCTAGAGAAAAATCTAGATACATGCGGTTTGGGGTGGGAGATCGCCCTTTCTGAGTCTTCGAAAATTAATTGGGTGAAATCTCGGATACTGAATCATCCCCAAAAAAAAATAAAAAAAATTCAAGATAGATGGAGAAAATTCAATATGTCACACTAATATTGCATACTTTCTCCAAGTGATGTTAGTTCCAGGGCCGGCGGTCGCCTTGGGCCTGGCCTCATATTTTAGAGGGCCTCATGAGGCCCATAGAGGATGGAAAAAAATTGGTCGCCTTGGGCCTCAAATTGTGAGGCCTATAGGGGATGGAAAAAAAATAAAATAAAAAAATAAAGTTAGGGCAAGTTTCAGACGACACAATCTGCTTCGACACTCCGCAGGGCGCAGCCTCCGCTATCGCCTCAGGTGACAAGGTATATTCATCCTCGACATCCTCTTTCTCTCTTCTCTCTCCTTTTGCATGAATCGATCTTTTATATATGTTTCTTTCTTTCTTTCATCTCGTCATTTGATTTGTTCTAACTTTGGTTTGTTTGATTCGGGCCTTTACCTTTGTTCCAATAATTTAAATTTTGTTATAAGCTTTACCAAAAAAAAAAAAAAAAAGCACAACTAGACTGGATAAGCTTTTCAACGATATATTATATGCCTAATATTACCCTCAACAAAGCCCCCGAAGTCAGGTTATATGCAGTCAAGTCCAATAGAAAAGATTGATCAATTGAACCTGATGTCGATCGACTGAAGTTACTCCAGAATATCTCAATCGAAAAAGCAATCAATCAAGAAAAACCAAGTAGGTGCCACCCAATAATATAGGAGGTTCAAAGTTGATAAAATGCGCATTTTCAAGTCCGAAAAGGTTTCTAAACTTTCCGATACTTCTCCAACATTCTAAATCAATTGTTAATCAACTCCAACACCATAAAAAGGTACTCTGATTTATCTAAACAAGAGCATAATTGTGATTCAATTTTCAATCAACTCCACATATTTTTGTCATCTGTAATCATCAAATTTTAGCAGCTATACAAACAATGAATGTAAAAAAGAAGCTGCAATTTTCTGTTCCTCATTTCCACTTTTGGACTGTATTTTGGATACTCTGTTTTGTCTTCTCTCCTCTCCTCCTCTCCTCCAGATTCCAGTGAAAACTCCAGCCAGGAGATCATTCAACCAAACTGCTTGATTTTAGATTTTTTTTTTTTTAATTATATTTATTGTATGATCGGCAATGCTTAGTTGTTATTGTTTCTGTTTGATTCTCCATCCGTTTTATGTTAATTGTGATCTTCTTTCACATGCTAGCAGGACACCCTTCTTAGAATTAAATAATTGCATATTGAGGTAATATATATTTTCTTTAAACAAAGCAAATTATTATTATTATTATTTTGAAGTCTAGTTTTATGTTGATTATGGTTCCTATTATTTAGATTTCAAGAGATATCATTATGCATACAAGAAAATTTGAATCTGGGCATGAAAAAAGAGGGGGGGGGGGGGGGGGGGGGATTCAATCTCAAAAAGGAGATATTCTTAAGTTTTTTAGGAGCAATACACAAATGGAGAGTGTAGTTGAAGATTTGGTGAATGAAGAACATATGAATGCGAAAGCAAATGAAGAAAACCTCAATAAACATGAAGATTTAATGAATGAAGATCATAGGAAGTTAGTCAATGAACATAAAGATTTAATGAATGTAGATTATAGTTATTAGTTAGTTGTCTTATGCACAATGCATATGCATACAATTATATTAGCTATACAATTTGAAAACATCGTGTGAAAATTCCGGACTCCTATAATTTTTTTTGCACGTGTGAAACTAAAGGGCCTCACATTTGAAAGTTTGCCTAAGGCCTCTCAAAATATTTGGAATCTCAGGGCCGGCCCTGATCAAATTACTCTCTTTTATTTTATGGTGATGTGGTTTGATATTGTTTATGATTTATCTGGAATACTTCGATGGCTGTGAAATACAGTGGTCTTATTACTTTTTTTTTTTTTTTTTTCTCTTCTTCTTTAGATATCATTGGGCTACAGTGAATGGGTTCACAGTAGTTGGAGGTGAGAAAGATATTGAAGAAGTGTTTATGACTGAAGATGCTATGTAGCTAACTGGTATGCCTTTGCCACGGGGTTGGTTTTGGATAGTTTCTTGCTTACACCCTGCAGATTGATTCCGCCTTTTCTCACTTCTGAAACTAATGCAGCCGAAAAGTGAAGCCGGTAGGAAGAAGTACAAACCAAGAATATACTGTATAAAAGATTGTATGCTGAGGAATATAGGGAAGAATCTACGAAAGTCTTTTCCCTAGAGAAGGTGAAGGATACTATGACCAACGGATGGGTCGGGTCAGGTCGGCACGGCACGGCAGGGGGTGGGGTTACCTGAGTCAATTTTTGAAGCATACTGTGGTTCATGTTACTGGCTGTTTCTGGTGTCTTTCTGTCTTCTGGTTTGAAAGTTTTGCAGGAACTTTCTGGGAGAGGCAGTATGTGCTATTGGCTGGTGGTACACCGGTACTGCAGTATTGTGTTTCTGGTTTTTGAGGCAATATATGTATTTGCTGGTCCTTATCTAATAATCAAATATTTGGTTTGGAAGCATGAAATTAGCACCTTTGTAATTGGAATTAAATATAAACTAAATTTTGTTCAATTTCAAACACCAAAATTTCATGCTTCCAAGGCTTTGTAGACGAAGAGTTGGTCCTGAAAGTGAAGAGTGAACGATAGAGATTACGCCTTGGTGCTTTAATACCTTCGTATTTTAACCAAAAACAAATCATGTAAACAGCCCCAGGAAAAATTACGCAGACTTTCAAAATTATTGATTCATTTTACTTGATAAAATTGGAGTCCATAAAGAAATTTAGATTATGTGTGTATCAGATTAAAATGACTAGCCTTATTATTATTACTGATCGGTAAAATTAATATATGTAAAAGGAGGGTTAGCGGCTCTTTCCAATAGGCGTGAATGCAAATAAAAAACATCTTCTGGATAAGCTTCGCGATCGGGCGGTCTTCGTAGACATTTGGTGATAAGCTTGCGCTTGTTTGGAGTCACAGCTGCTTTTTGTGATTTTTTTGCAAATTTTATTAAAATCTTTTTGTTTCTCTACTTAGTTACATAATATATAATCAATTATTATTTCTATAATGAATAATATATTATTATTTCTATAATGAATAATATATTATCAATTAATATGGTAATATATCAGATGGATAAATTATCTATATTCAAATAAAAACACTTTGGAGATGCCGTTGCTTTCAATATACGAGTATATTATTTAATCTCCCAAACTACATGGTAACTATTTTTTTTTCAATTTCAAACATCAATTCCATGTATCCAAAACACAGTTAAACCCTATTATATTACTCTTAACACAGTTAAACCCTATTATATTACTCCTAATAATTCCCAAATAAAATTGATAAATCTGGCCGAGTTATCTCGATGGGCTGACAGTTGGTTGGTCCACTAAATAAGGTATCCTTCTTTTGGATTGGGCCACTATTGTTTCCGATATTTCTGGGCCAGACAACTTTTCCAAATTTAGGCAAGAAAAGTAACTGGTACAAGAAAGATCAATCCAATTATCCATACCTTGTTAACCCTATGTCAACACTGATCCAATGATGGTGTTCTTGAGCCATTTTCCACACTGCTTCAATATTCAAGATCTCTAGGGTTGCAGATTTGAGATGCCTCTTAACCTCCTATGTCATTCAGAGTGAGTACTCTATTACACTTCAATCTTTTGTAAAAATGCATTCTGTGTTTCTTTGTGACAGATTGTTTCCAATTCGGAAGATTGCAATAGATTCAACGCCACCGCTAGTTTTTCTTCGCAAGAATCCATTGTTTCTTAGATGCATTTCTTCAAAAAGCTCTCCTACAAGTCAACACTCTCTCACGGTCTCTTGTCTCATAAACTCATCTGGGTTGTACACAGAAACTGCTACCTCTGCATCAGTTATCACACCCATTTCGTCAAAGAGTTCGTCAAATCAAGACTCATACACAGTCTCCTACCTCATAAATTCATGTGGGTTGTCTCCAGAAACTGCTATTTCTGCTTCTGAGAAACTACACTTCGAAACCCCAGAAAAACCAGACTCGGTCATTAGGCTACTCAGAAACCATGGATTCTCCAAAACCCAGATAGCGATTCTTGTCAGAAAACGTCCAGTGCTGCTTTTAGCCCATCCTGAGAAAACCATTCTGCCCAAACTTGAGTTTTTTCAGTCTATTGGGGTTTCAAGAACTGACCTCGCAAGAACCCTTTCTTTGGACCCAACCCTCTTGACAAGAAGCTTAGAGAATCAGATTGTACCCAACTATAATTTCCTCAAGAGTGTGCTTCAATCCAATCAGAAGGTTGTTGCTGCTATGAGGCGCACATCTTGGTTATTTTTGCAGGATCATACCAAGAATCTTGTTCCAAATATTGCAGTTCTGAGGGAACTTGGAGTACCAGAGTCGTGTATTATACTGTTACTAGCTCATTACCCTGAGGCTATACTGCAAAAACATGAACAGTTCAGTGAAATTGTTACTGAGGTCAAGAAAATGGGATTTGACCCATTGAAGTCGACATTTGTGCTAGCATTACATGCCATTTCAGGGAAGGGTAGTGAGTTGAGATGGAATCGATGTTATGAAGCCTATAAGAAGTGGGGTTGGTCTAAGGATGATATTCTCTCAGCGTTTAGAAAGCACCCGCATTGTATGATTTTGTCGGAGAAGAAGATAACGGCAGCAATGGACTTCTTTGTGAACAATATGGGGTGGCAGTCCACTATGATTGCAAGATGTCCAGTAGTTCTTTTTTTCAGCTTGGAGAAGAGGATTATCCCTAGGTGTTCGGTTATCCAAGTCTTGTCATCTAAGGGCTTGATGAAGAAAGATTTGAGCTTGAGTACTGTGTTGTTGCCAGTGGAGAAGAGTTTCTTGGATAGGTTTGTGACAAAATATGAGGAGGAATTACCTGAGCTATTGTCTGTCTATCAAGGGAAGGTGGATATTCTGGAATTATAATTTCAATATGCGCAATCGGGTGAGATTTTGAAGTAGTACTTCATTTTATTACTGATATACTTAAATGGTTTTTGGCGCTTCATTGTTACTGTAATTTTCAGCATCAATAGTATCAATTTTTTAAACAAAGTTCTAAATCGGGTGAGATTTTGAAGTAGTACTTCATTTTGTTACTGATACACTTAAATGGTTTTTGGTACTTCATTGTTACTGTAATTTTCAGCATCAATAGTATCAATTGTTAACAAAGTTCTGCTGTTGGACTTTTGGTTTTGCTGCTGTTTTTTTGAATCGATGAGCGTTACAGTTCTCTATAGGACATGTTTAGGTAATAAATTTACAAAGCACGCATGTTTATGCACTTACCCTCAGTGATTTGTCATACCTAATAATTTTTAGAGAGGAAATGTTTCTGTATGGAACACCCGGTCACATAGGTGATCAGGGCAAAGAAGATGGAAGACCCTCATGCTCAAACTCAGTTTAACTCTTGGGCACTTTTCACTCTAGTTACATTACATATTCATATATGGTTATGAAAAAGCACATCAATTCTATGAGCTTTGACCATTTTAGTTGGGTATATTTTTCCAAATGTTTCAGATTATATTATTATTATTTTTTATTTTGCAACTGTAAATTAGTAGATTAAAATTAAATGCTAAAATCACCAATTTAATAATTTTGAATAGGACTAGTATGTTGACCATGATCCTCTATTTATTATTTAAGGACATATTACGAGGTATCTAACAACCCATTTATATGAAGAATTAAAAGGTAAAATTTTAAGTATGTTTTAAGATTAATCTGATCCTCTTTTCTATCATTGTTGGGCATGTTGCAATGGTATCCAATAACCTAGTTGCTGAGTAGTGAACCTTGAAGCCAATTTTCGTTGAATTTCACACACATTTTTTAATACTACCATTCCTTGCAAGCCTATTGGGTTTGTAGTCTATTGTACTTCAACCATTTGGACAAGGTCCGACGCTTGGTATCTTAATTGGCGAGGAAAATATCTTTGAATACTACTTGGTTGGTTTTTAACAAAGATAAACACTAATAAGAGAAAGAATCCTGCCATAGAAATTCTTTCTCTATTTGATTATTGGTTGCCAATGACTCACAGTTTTAATTGCTGCAGACAAAGTGAACAGGTAACTACCTGATTCTTTTTCTGTATCAGCAAGGGTAGGAGTTTGAAAAGTTGGGATTGGTTAGTAGGAAGGAGGGGGCTTGAGATAGAGAGAAAACACGCAAGACTTGAAAAGTGGGAGAGGAGAGAAATTTGGATGGTCAAAAGAAGTTTCTCCCAGAGGTAGCATGAGAGAGTCTATTTATGAGGTCCTCTCTATTATACCGTGCTTTGCATATTTTTGCCCTTTTTTCTGAAATTTGTCAAAAGGGTTTGAAAGATACATGGGAAAATGTTGGAATTGTGTTGTGATGAAATGAGGAGAGTTTATAGGTTCCCATAATTTTATAGATTCTGTGGATTTATACAGAAGTTCCTCAAAATGTTCACATGTTTATTTTGGGAGAAAAGTTAGATGGTGATGGAGGATCAATTGTGCATTTGTTTGTATTGACTTCGTAGATTTATGCGATTTATTGGTTTTTTCTTGTAAGCTGCTGCTGCGTAATTTTAGAGATGTCTAGATGTTATGGCTACTATAACATTTGTAATGCTTCCATAAGTTTTTATAATGCTAGATTTGAAGATATGATCATTGAATTATACAAAATGGTAGGTGAAATTGGGCTTTGTTTTTTGTATATCTATCTCATATTGAAGGAACAAAAGGGGTAGGGTGCAAGATAATACGGGGTCTAAATTCTTCAATCTGCATGGTGATCTGAATGAACCCTTTAATTTGCAATATTATCTGGATGAACCATTTTTGAGACACCTTTCAGTCATTCTACTGTTGGAAATCAAAGTTTTTATTTGTGATTCTCAAAATAAGTGTGCTCTTTGCAGGTTTTGTTCCTTTAGTTCTTTGTTTATTACTTAAAACAGTGTTGTAAAATCACAAGTTTTACATGGTATGTCAAGTTTTTGGGATTGAAATATTATTGCAGATGTATGTATGAGGTGTGAGCTTCAAGAATACTTGCTTGGCCAGTTTGATCAGTTTGCTCTCTGTCGATATATATATATATATATATAATATGGTGCAAGTTTAATACTGTCCTGCCCAAGGCCGGATACGGCCTCTCATTGTTGGAGCAGCCCTACTTGAATAAAATACTTCATTGATATTTTGAGACATTTATGTTACCAACAGATTTTAAATTTCATGAGTACTTCTTTGATATTTTGAGACTTGGGATATTAGGTTTCATGAGATCACCCGTCTATAACTGGCATGCCACTGCCACAGGCTGATCGATCACTATATTGAATAATAGTTCTTTGAAATTTGAGAAAATTGAAATTGTTAAAAACAAGTTTTAAACTACAAATACTGTAGAACAACAATATTCTTGGCTTTGGAACAGCGAGTCTTCTTGAAATAATTCCATTCGGATAATATAAAGCAAAAATATGGAGACTAATCTTCCTTAGAAATTAATTTGATTTAATCCCTTCCAAATTTTCTTTAAGGTAAAGTACACTCGGGGTAATCCACATACAAGTTCAGTATGTTTTTGAACAAGACAAAGATATCCTAATAATTACCTGACACATGATGAATTGATAATATTGTCCTTTGACTTGTGACTTGACCATATTAAACAAGGAAATTACCTTT